TAAAAATATTGTACATGCAGTTATATAAATGTAAAAATATATTTAAGGACATTTCTGTTATTATAATTTAAATCCTTTTAATTTAGGGTTAAGAAACCCACATTACTCTATCAAACTATTAAAGAAAATAGCAAAGACAAATATCAAACACAAGTTATTACAATAACTTTGTTCAAAGCTTAAAATCCTTTCAAGGGTGCATTTGCACAATCCCACGTGAAGTATTTTATGTGTTTTAAAGCCACGTTTAAAGTAGTCTTCAATGTACTCACAATACATTTCCATTGTACAGTAACCAGCCAAAGAGCTGCTTCTATGACTGTTGTGTTTAAGTATCTCATAACTTCGACTTCCTATCTCATAATTTTGACTTTCTATCTCAGAATTTCTTTCTATATATCAGTTATTACTTTCTATCTCATAATTCCGACTATGGGGATATTTTTATTATCAAGTCTAACTTTTAATAATAAAAATTATTTTTTTCTTTTGCTGGCGGATTCGCGGGCCACATAAAATGACGTGGCGGGCCGGATTCGGCCCACGGACCTTGAGTTTGAGACCCCTGCTCTAAGTTCTGTCAGTCATCTTACATATATAAAAGTTAATTTGCAGGAGAATGCAGCACAGCAGAATAGCTCTTGTCTGGACAGATTGGAGAGTGAGGGTATCAGATGTTTTCCCTCAGAGATCAGAGTCGGGGGGGCCTGCAGGTGGATGCTGGCTTGTCACACAGCAGCCCAGTCGGCAGAATTGTTTTTGGCATTGTACGATTTTGCAAACCAAAGGGATATGTTGAACGTCTACGTTTGTGATCTAAAAATACTTTCCATAAATATGTTTCATACCAACCTCGTATCATGCTTGTAGAAATAACAACAATGTGAAATGATTGGTTAGGTTTAGGAAACAAAACTACTTGGTTAAGGGTAGAAAAAAGACCATGTTTTTCTTTTTGTCGCAGTAATGATAATAATAACAATATAACGTAACAACATAACTAGTGTAAATAGATAACCGCCCTTTGAGGACTTTCCTATGTAATGTTAAGTAACAAGCGTTAAATCATTGTTTAACTGTTGGTTTCAGAAGGGACACGAACAACAGCCTCCTGGGTGAAAGTCTCCTGGTTTAGACTCATCCCATCAGCCCTTGGTGGACAATCTCGCATCTTTATGCTCGTTATTGTACCACGTAGCTTTCAACAACAGTCGCTCGATACACTTCCTCCCTTGCTCTTACGCGCTGCTCGTTTTCCCACGTCACTTGCTGTGACCGAATGCAAAAACGTCCCCATGAAACGTATCCGTTTGCTAAAAAGTCCATACTTTAATGGTGCCCGGGCTTTTAGAGCCCCGTACCGAGGAAGACGATCCCCTGGTGCCCGTCTTGTCCCCGTTCAGCCGATTGACGTGATGTCCTGCGGTCGTCGCTGGGCCCAGTTCACTTGCAAACATGAACAAGCAGCAGAGAGTGTCACGTTACTGCTTCACTGTCACTTTGTCTCCTCAAACATGTGCTCACTCACTCTCTCTCCTCCTGCCCCGCTTCTCCTCCTCCACCTCTTTTACTCCCATGTCACCTCGGACTTTAAGCCTCCATCCATCTAAAGGACGAAGGGTTCAGTTTGACACAGTCATGCTCTCGATCAGTCAGCAGTGAAATGCAATGATTTAAATAAAAAAATAAAAAATTTAAAGACTACATTTTATTTTTTTTTACTATGTTTGCCGACAACAAAGAAAAATCAGGAACACGTCACTCAATAGCATACTGCGGTGCTGCTAATCTCACTCGTCCGCTGAATTATTCATAGTCAATTAGGGCTGAGAGGCTGAAGCTGTCTTCATGGCTCAAGTGCATTTTCAATGATTCATTTCACGAGCCACGCAAGGGGTCTCTTAATTGTTGTTTACTGCTCGCTATACCCGACCACATGTTATTTTTATGCCGTCGTGATTACTCCCGGCAGCGCTTCGGAGTGCTTGGGAAATGAAGTCCATTACAGTGGGTGGGGGGGGGGGGGGTCCTGAGAGGTGTTTTCCTGTCGAGCGCCGTGGAACGTTTTCCAGGGTTCCAAAACTTTTGCTGCACGAGAACAAGAAACCTCATCCCATGTTGAGTGTCAGTCGGTGGAAACGAGACCCGTGAAGAGATGTTGGCGGTGCATTTTATGGTTCTACTGTGCTGTAAAAATACCTGCAGCTTTATACACGGATTCATTTTTAATAGGATCCCCGAAGAACAGTTGAAATTGCAGAAAAAGTGAAATCATATGGAAGGAACAAAAAAACCTACAGCTAACTCTGCAGACCTCTACCGCAAACTGCAGTTTGATGGCGTCAGAAAAGGAGCAGGTTTGCTGGCACTATTTTTAGTTTTATTTGTTTGGGTGTGGCAAACAGAGAATATGAGAGAACTAAATGCCCGAGGTCATGGCTGATATAGTATGACAAGCTCTAAAAGCACAGTCTGAATTATTCTGTGGCAGACGTATCTTTGAGGGAAAAAAAAAAGGCGGCTGCCCTCCAGTCGACACCTCATACCTCAGCAAATCCTCCTGTGAGTATTCCTGCTGTCAATCAAAGCATTGTCCACATACTATCAAATCCATCCACACACATCTAAACCTTCCCTTTGGTCATTTTGCCCCTGGCCTGAAGGATGAGGTGCTTTTATTTCTTCACATTTAAAGGTGCTGAATTAGTCATTCAAAGCATATCTATTGCCTCCACGCGGCTCTCAAAATGGCGACACTTAAGCCGGCGGCTTGCAGCTAACGGTGCCGAAATCGCTAACTGTGCAAACAACGGCAGCAGTGCCGACAGAGCTAACGGTGTTTACCTGAGGGGGAAGCAGCAGGTGAGTGCTTTACGCTTCCTCAGCTGTAGCCGAGGTCATCAGACCAGCAGCTGTGACTAATCGGATGGGGCGCGCTCACGTGCACTAAAAGCACGCTAGGCCGGCTCCTTATCTATAAATCCTGAGAAAAAACAATTTGTGTGTCGGTAAAACCTGCCATTTAGAAGTGATATACGTTTGATAAATCACTTTGTTTTATACATGTGCTTTTGAAAACGTACCTAATGTTAAATACTTTAGAAATGAGACCAGAAATAACTGGCTTATCTTATTGTTTTCATTTGCACTCATCAGTTAAACAAACGTAATGTTCACCTGCCTTTCATATTAGATTCAATGTCATAGGTAGGCTACAATTATCAGACAACCATACGAACATTCAGGCTCCCTCGTGTGGTGCAAATGTGTACTGCAGATGTGAATGATAAATGAAAGACTATACTACTAGAAGTTCTGCAAATCTATTTGGTGACCCTAAATAAAATGTTGTGCGACCCACCTATGGGTCCCCAACCCGGTGTTTGGGAAAGACCGGTAATAGAGACCCTTTAATGCTAATGAACGAGCTGGAATTTTGTCGTAGGCTTTAAAGGGCTGTTTTTCTTCTGCGATAGTTCCTGATGAGTGAAGTAAGACCCTGGAGAATCCTGGCAGTAACGTTGTTTCCATGAGATATTATTTGGCCACGCAGTGCTCGCACCTTCTTTCCACTGAACTCCTTCGTTTGACAGTAATTCAGGTCAACAGCTTTCGAGTTACGGCAACTGTGTGTGTGTGTGTGTGTGTGTGTGTGTGTGTGTGTGTGTGTGTGTGAGAGAGATAGGAACAGAGTGCGTACACACTCTATCATGGCCTCTGTGGCTCGACTGCTGCTCTCATCGCCACTCGTTTGTGTTCTGCTCTGTTGACACCTGTTAGATGTGACAGAGGTGAGCGGTAGCTTCTGCCTGTAAGGGTTGAATAGCCAGAGGCTTCCGTGTGTGTGTGTGTGTGTGTGTGTGTATTTACATGCTCCTTGAAGTTGTGATTGCACAACACACACACACACAGACCAGCCGGTATGAGTAGTTTTCTTCCTCTTTCTCTTCCGCTATTGACTCTTGAGGTAGGTCCAGGTCCTCGTGTTTGCATTCGATTCAGAGGGAAGAGGCTTTCTAGCGAGATGCTGACTCCCACAGCTGACCATTGCAAGCTGTGGGAGTGAAGATATAGTCATGTCACATTTTATTAATTGTGTTTGTAGCTTAGCCACAATGAGACTGTTTTCTCAGGAACATTGGCGTACATGTTTGCAGCGTTTTTTTTTTTAATCTCTCTGTCAGAAGACATTCGGAAAGCTTCGCCTGGCTGGGTGTGGTGACAGCACTGACAGTGACTTGCTGTTACATTTTAGATTATGTAAACATGCAATTATTTTAGTAAATCCAGATGGTCCAAGTGAAACCATATTTATTTGATAAAAAAAACCCTCACTTGGAGGAAGCCGAGAGCTGTTTTACATCACTTCTTCTTTACTTTTCTCCACAATAACAGAATTAAATTTTTTAAATTCACAACAGAGTTCATATTTGTAATGGTTTATTTGGTCCAGCATCAAACATTGGCCAAATGTTTTCTTTCCCGAGGAGTTGTTTTAATTCCATTTCTCTTTCACCGCAGTTAAATTCCCGACTTTCTCCGTCGTTGTTGTTGGCTGTGACTCCTCTGTGGCTGGTAGTCTCACTTTGGCAGTTCACCGCTGACCACGCATATTAAACACTTAACTCACACGGCAAGTGGCATATATGGCACCAATTCCTGAACGTCACTGGGGGAAAAAAAAAGGCTTAGTTAAGGGATATATATTATGCGTGTGAGGGTCACTGATTAGGAAACACAGGGGCAGTGGGTTTCTTTAGAAGGTTGGTAACCTGCAGGTCTTTGTTCCTCTCTGGCCTGTAGTGGCACCACACGTGACCTCAGGTAAACTCACAGGACTTTTGGCTCAATAACGGCGGGGTGGAATAAACAGTGGACAGGACACCTGCTTTGATTTAGAATATGTCCCGCATGTTTGTTTAAATTGTTATACGAGCATCTATCTGGAATTCCACATGCATATTAAAGCACTATTTCTTTTTTTGGTGTCCACCTCTCAGAGCCTAACTGGAAGGAATCGTGCCCCGTCTCCACCTGTGGCTCCGGTGTGATGAAGCCTTGACGCACAACCGCCCTCTGTCCCGTCCTCGGCCCGGCACCTTCACCCGGCTGGCCGGGGAAAACTCATGGTGCCCGTCAAGTCTGCCTGGCAACGGCAAAGATGAGCTCTCACAGTCGCTCAGGTAAGACGTGAAAAAAAGTTTCTAGAAGGATCGCACAAGAGGAGCTCTTGTGCTTTTCTTCCCATGTGTGGCGGCTTCTTTTGTGTTTAAAATGTGTTTATGTTCTGTCCATAGTGTGTTCAGGTGTATTCGAACACTTCTGTATTATTTATTCTCAAGGTTGTGCTACATGTTTTATTAATGAAAATGGTCGGAATACCACTGAGTTACTAAACAAAAGCACTTTATCAGGCTTATTTTTGCAAAAAAAAGTTTGAGGCATTTCGTGATTGTGGCGTAATGCACATATAATGAACAGTTTCAATGTGAGTACATGTATGTATGCATTTTGACAACCAGAAGACTTATAAGGAATGGTAAGTGAAACCCTGCTTGTGACGACATTCTTTTCTTTGATGAGCTAAGTTGTTACAGGCTAACTGAGAGCTATCGGTCTTTTTTGATTTGATTGCACCGTGGCGAATGGACCAAAACCCGTAGTTTTGATTTAGCCTTTTCTACAAGGGCTCTTCAATTTGGTTGAGTGATTGTTGAGTTGACGACTTCCTCACCGCATGTTGCATTGTTTTATATCGCAGTTACACAGTGGTGTTCGTCCATCTATGTATTTTTGGCTCTCCTCCAACATGATCAAATGTCAAGATGCATCCACTATATTTATCTGAAACAGCCTAGTGTCAGTGCTATTTCTAATAGTGGTTCTTAAATGAAATACTACAGATGTATTTAGCTCTATAGAACACATCAGAGGAGCAGGATCACTAGTAATATGCTTTTGGTGTCAACAGCCAGGCTACTGCTCGCGCAACGATAGCGCGGCTCTTCCGCGTCCAGTAACCGGCCGTCATTCGGTCATGGATTATATTTCACAGCAGGTTTCTCCTTGCGTCCTCAAAAATGGATTCCCTGGTCTTGTTGACCGTGACCAATGTGGCCTTCTAACCCCTCCCTTTTTTTTTTTCTTAAATCACAGCCATGGTGCAGATCTGGCTCTTCCTCTTTCCTCAACTGCAGACAAAAGTGGACAAAAGGCCAATTGTGTGTCCTCCCTTTACCCATCATGCTTTGGCTGTCTAGGTCGTATTCAACTTAATGATGTCAGAGCCATTGAGTGATTGTTGCGGTGCTACTGCTCCTGTGTGGCACCATGTGGGCCGCTGGCATCGGCTTCTTTTCTGCAGAACTGCAAGCAGAGACATGTTGTTGTCCCAGCCAAAAGGGTTTGCATCAGTTTCAGGCCATCCGGATAGCTGTGAACTCTGGCACAGGCCAAAGATATGTGGGATTTATTTTCTTAAATACATCGTGTTATGTAAGAGGAGCAGTTGGACATATTTCCTTTCTTTCTTTTCCTCCTACTCAGATCATTTCCATGCTCCTTCAATTCTCAGTCCTCACAAGTTTTGTTTTTCATCAAATCTTTGATAGTTTTTCTAAAATAACTTACAAATAGAAATACCAGTGTAAAAATGCTTGTTAATTTCCTTTTTCATCATCTGACCTGCTTGTGTGTTTGTGGCCAGTAATCCTCTTGTGGAGCAATTACAAAAAAAAAATGGTCCCAACCTGAATCCACAGTTGTCGGTCTGTAATCACAACGCATCTCATTTGGTCTATTTCAATAAGGAAAGGAGCCTCTTGTATGCATTCACAATGTGCCAGTTGATGGATGAACATAATCCCACTTTTGTAAAAAAAAAACCCTGATTTGTTATGATTCATAACATAACGAAGCCAAATTCACAATATACACAAACACCAAAAATAGCCAAGGTGAAGTTCTGGTGAAGTTCTGCACTGAGCCAACATATTCCAACAGCCAGACTTCTCCCCACCCTGAGGAGCACCCGATGTTTAGAACGGAGCTTTCCTCCATTTTGCCTCCTGTTAGCGGTTCGTTTCCCCCTTGTCGCCCTCCTGTCTGTGCGCTGCATGGCTAAGCCCTTTTCCATGTATGACAGATCATCGTTTCCCATTCTGAAAAACGGACCATTTCAGAGCACTGAAGGCCTCTTTTGTCCGCCTTTAAACCTGGGTGGCAAAGAGGCTGGCATGTTGACATGCTGCTTGGCATTTTGAAGCTAGGTTTACGGCCTTGGAGCCCGAGCTGGAACACACACACACAGACAAACTCTCTCATCCCGGCGAGATCCTCCCCTCCTCCGGCTCTCCGGCGGCAGTAATCGGTGGCAGGTCCTGGCTGGGGGGGCTCTTGCGTCAATAAATCGTCACGCGGCTGTGACTCCCCCTGCCTGGAACGCAAACAGAGGCCTGGGGGCCGTCTGCTGCTGGAGGCCTCGTGTAGCTTGTTAAAACCCCCTCTGAGGCCCGGTACAGTCTGACCCAAAAGAAGGCTCATGCTGGGCTCAGTAGTGTTTAGTATTGTTTACCAATCTTACTTGGCATTTTAACTTCCTGGAGGGATCCCAACCTCTTCTTCCTGTCTTATTCACGACGATGCCGGCTGATAATGGCGCTTAAGAAGCCGGTAGAGAATCTGCAGAGTGAGACCAAGGATCCAACAGAACCAAGAGAGCAGTGAGCGTGTGGACGAAAGGAAACGCGTTACCTTAACTCTTTTTTGTTAGAGCAGCAGGTCGGCAGTGTGGGGAGAGGAAGGGAGGGCGGTCGTCTTTTTTTTCCGCGTCGGGGTACTGGGGGTGGGGGTGTTGCAAGGAGTTGGTTTTTAAAATAAACACACAGAGTCGCACCTCCTCACTTTTCAGAGTCTTCTTCACACCGCTGAGCCTCGGCAGATGGTTGTGAATTATTCATGTCCAGTTTTTTTTTTTTTTTTTTTTTTTTTTGGGACGAGCACGGCCATGCGTAGATTTTTATCCCAGAGATTATTCAGTATCGGAGGGGAGGAGTGATTTGAGAGGACTGACAGCATAATGGGTGCTTTACAAAAGATGGTGGAGTGTAAACAGCTAATGCCAGATAAGACTGTTATCCCCCCCCTCTATTGTGATAGATGGAACGCTGCAATCAATGTCATTAAGCAGGATTAAAGTATTTTTCTTTTTTTACAGCTGTAACAGTCAAAATGTAGTTTTCACAGTTTTGCAGCCATGTCTTGCTGTAGCATCTTTTAGGTGCTTTGAAGATCTAAAATTGCGGGGATGTGATTTTTAAGCTTTTCCGGTGACACATTCTTCCTGTCTTGGGTCAGGTTTTCCCTTTTTAAAGCAGATTTTAAACATTTTAGTTGGACACGAGCTGGAGTACTGTAAGAGTGCGTATATTGAGTAACCACATTCCACCTCCAGCATTAAACTCGGAGGTAATCAAAGTCGGCTGCTACTGAAAGAGGAGCAGTTTTTAATTCTCTCTCTTGCCCTTCCTTCTCTGCTGTCCTGCTGTCACTCTAATTTCCTATCTGTCTTCCCCCCCCCCCACCGTCCCTCTCTCTCTGTCTCTCAGCTTTAATCAGTAACTGTAATAAGGGCTCGCAGTGGAAGCTATCAAATGCCTGCAGTGGTGGATTAGAAGAGAGTGGCTAGTGCCTGGGCCGGGCCACTGGAAAGTGAAGCGTAATCTTCAAAAAGGGAGATTAACCCCCGCTGGCCCACGCCGGCGATTCCCCATTTACAGGGGCCATCGTCACAGGGGGAAAAAAGACTCGGGTCGGGGGGGGTTAATTGATATGTTTTAGTCCCAAACGTGAAGAAAGTTGCTTTAAAGATGACTGGAGTCAACCGAAGCAGGAGGCAAAGTTAAGTAGGGCTTACTCCTCAGAAGTTCTTTCAGAAGTTTCTTTTAGGGAGTAGCGATGCTGCTCGTCTCCGTGCGCCTGCAGCCACTTTTCACAGCCACGCTGCCGCCTAGTGATTGTCCCAAAGAGCCAGCAGGACACAATAGCGCTCCCCTCCTATCTGCGTTTGATGCATTTGAGTGCTGCAGAACTGTTATTGTTCTCATTTATCCTTGGCTCTGCAAATTTATTTTTTATTTTTTTCCTCAATGGAAAGACGGATGGGACTGAGAGTTGAACCAGACTAAACAGAGGCCCTTTTTTAAGAGAACAATGGAAGCTGCTGTGGAGAAATGAGATTACTGCCTCATTATTGTCTTTCGCCACCACAGTTTTCCAGAATATTCCATTCGAGTAATCTCATTGCCGGATGAAACAAGTGTGCAATTTAGCCTCTTCGGAAGAATTTATTAAGCGTTCAAAGCTTCGCCTCTGCCGGAAGAGGAGCTCACAATTGAATTATGTTTTTTGTGCTCAAACTGCTGTGCACTGTTCTTTCAAATAAACAAAGATCTTTTTTTTGTTCTTTCATTATTGATTATTCCACGATTTCACGGCTGATTTGTTAGCTAAATTGGGCAACTGTCATTGAGTTTCTTGAAATGAGAACTGATGACTTACCTTTTGTGTCAAGTTTCTCTGGCTGGCTCTTAGCAGGCATGTCAGTGAAACCAGTTTCCTTGAAGCTGCTTTGCAGGAAAGACATGTAATTACAACTCAGTGGATTTTTTTTACAGCAGGAGCAAAAGTATGATTAGAACTGAGGCCTGAGACATGCAGTACATGCAGGGCATAGTATTTGTGTTTGAGCCGACGGCACACACAGAACACGGGTATCGACTGCTGACGGTACACAGCGCTCAGAATAGCCCAGATGTCCAATCCGTGATAGATAAAGAGATTGAGAAGATGCAAGACCTTGACGATTAACACGTAAGGATCCACATCTTTCTGCTACAGTACGAGTGAAATGCAAGAGGTCACGTTCACTCTCTCTCTCATATTGTCTTGAGTCCTCCCAAGCAGCGAACCGCTCCGGTACGCTATAAGAATCACGCACGACCGTGCTTCTCCATCTGGCCGGGAGACGCGATCCGCCGCATGGGTTCAACAGGGGACAGCCAAGAACCGGGAGGCGGGTCAGGTGGGTCTCCGAGGATGTAATCCTCCTGCTTCTCTGAACAAAACAAAATCAAAAGTTTCCAGCAGTTACACAATCCCTGTTAGGAAGGGCTCAGTTCACCCT